GAGAAGGCGTTTGTACCTATTGTTCTACCTGTTAATTAACCGTGTCAACAAGATTGTAGAGAAAATGTTTTTAAAGCCTTTTAAGAGGGCAAACACATTTTAAGCACCTCTAAGTGCTTTAGGAATACTCAAGGATTTAAAGTGACAACGATCAACAATCACTAATTATAGTCATTCTTAACGGGTTCTCACCCAGGATCTCTTTATGAGATAACACGTGTTAACCTAGTTTCAACTACAATGTGTATTTAAGGAAGATTAAGTTCAATTTAATTCAAATCTGCATTTATCGAGTTTCCAAGGAATGAGACTGATTATTCTGAAATATGCTATCATTCAGATTGGCCCCTCCCCAGTTAGCCAAAAATAGTAAGATTGAACTCTACATCCAAAACCTATAACCACAGAACCCTAACTGTATCATGCATTGTATTAAAACTGCTGAGACGTCCCAAGACAAGGGTCAAGGTTTTGTATCATCATTGCACCCCCGGCAGCCAGCACAATACTCATCACACGTGTCTGCTGAACAAAGGAGCCACAGGAACAGCACGACCTGCAGACAGATTGTTCCAGAAGATAAAAGGGGCGGGGGGGGGGGGACCAGTGTCACCAGTTCTTTAAATCAAAACTCTCTTTCATGGGACGGTTCAGATGAGCAAACACTGAGTCCAGCCTTCTGATTGCTTTATCTTACTCAAGCCTCGGGCCAACCTCTGAGGAGCATTCTCTCGAAGGACCCTTTACAAATGCAGGCAAAGGCAATGGTGCTGTGAAGCGTGGGGGAAAGAGACCCTGGTGTCTCCGGCTCCAGGCCAGACGCTCCCACTGTGGCACCTGCCTCCCACTCCAGCCCAGCCTGGGCCACCCCCAGGGGCCTGGGTCTTAGCCCTTCTGACAACTGAAGAAAGGGACTCCGGAAGTAGCGGAAGCAGCGTGGTTATCAAGTGAGAGAAGCGGGAGGGGCTGGCCGGAGGAAAGAGGAGCACTTTGCACTAAGCACACAAAGGATTGCTTGGTTTTCTCTCCTTTGTGTAGTCAAAGCAACGTGGACACAGAATAACAGCCCGAACAAGCCTTATGTGTCTCGTTCACCCCTAAAACCACCACCAAAAAAACCTCACTTTCTTGTCACTGTAGTCTTTCAGCAAATTAGCTGAGCGGGAAATACAGCAAGGTGTCCAACATGTGATGAGTGATATTAGTCTGTTACTTAAATTGCTCCTTACTCTTAAAGTCAACTAGGTTTTAAAAGGAGAACAGGAAAATGAGGTCACATTATGTGAGCATTGTCTCAATCTAAGAAATGGGAAAAGAACTACAGTTCAAATTTCAGAGGGCATAAAAGCTCCAGAGGAGACTCTTAAAAACAGATTCCAGAATCACATTCCCTGAGATTAGGCCCAGATTGTGTCTTTTCATCCCTAGTGTGCAAACACCCTATTCATTCATTTATCTGTTTATTGAGCAACTACTACAGGTCAGGTGGAGGTGCTACATGGTGGGGATACAGCAGTAAGCAAAGCACTCAGAACCCCTGCAGTGAGTGCGGAGGGAGGCCATAACCAGGTGAGACTCCAGACAGTGTGCCAACCAGTGATCAGGGCTGTACAAGGAATAAAGTAGAGATAGGAGAACGGCGGGTATTACTTCCCTTTAATGGGTGTTGTGAGCAGCTTTTCTAGTAAGGAAACCAAGCCGATTTCTCTATAGATTTCTAGGGGAAAAGTATCCCAAATAGAGAGAACACTCAATGCAAAGACACTCAAAATTCTGGTGCAACTGATTTAAGGAGCACTTGCTCTGTGCTGGCTGCTTTACAGCAATGATCTTATTTCAATGATACAGCAGCTCTGCACTGCTCATGATCATGACTCCCTTTTCATCCCATGACCACATGGGGATTTGGCCACAGATCTAGCAAAGGGTGGAGCTGAAGTATGTATGACCCAAGTGTCTGGTGGGGTCTCCCCAAGCACAATGCTTTGGGGGTGTCCATCATGGGAGTGGGTCCCTCCTGCTAAGTGGGGAATATGCAGAGGCATCAATAAACCATGATTTAACCATATGGTGATACATGAATGCAGCCGCCTAAATGATATTTAAGACGAGTTTAACAGTGCAGTGCCAGTGGAAGTAAAATAGTATAAAGAAGTATGCAGATAGAAAGGACTTAACTATATAAAGAAAAACTGCACAAGAATATAAAATGAGAGGGAACTGTATAAGAATGTGAGCTTTGTGGTTGCCTGTAAATGTACATTTCTTTAACTCTTCACTTTTTGGTACTTCCCAAACGTGTCTATTGTGATAAGCAGATATTTTCAGTCATCAGGGAGGAAAATAAAAAAATACTGTGACAACATGCATTGCCCCTGCTTGGAGTTCTGACTATGACCCCACCTGTAGGTGTGAGTGACCGCCTCATTCCTACTAAGACCTCCTCCATGTCACACTCTCTGCGCATGTCCCTTCAAGGAGGCCCCGAGCCAGGATTAGCCGATGGTCCCCAGAGCCATGGTCTGGATGGTGCTCACCCGGCTGCTGAGGGAGGGAGACAGGAGGAAACATGTGCTGTCTTCATCCATCATGCCCGCTAGCCAATGGGGTCACATTTTCCAAGAGATATGAGGGCTCCGCTGGCAGATCTTTCAGCATCTCACTGCTATAAATTCTCCTGGCTCTTATTAATAAAACATAATGGTAATTCCTAGAATAATGGCCTATTATCCAAAGTCACAGAATGACAGAGCAATCAAAATCAGAATGAGTTATAGGGCCCGAGGACATGCTGGAGAGGTGGGTAATTCTGGCTTCCGGAGGAGCAGCATTAGGCCCATGCAGCAAATTAAAGGAACAATATTCAAGACAATTGCTTAAATTGCTACAATAATCCTGATAATGTAGCAATTTATTATTATGAAATGGATGATGCACCAAAGAAGTGAGGTGGACATCAGATGGGCTACAAACTGACCCCCAGTGGCCACATCGGTCTTGTTTTCTGTGTTGTGTTCACTCCTTTCTCCTCTCAATGTGTTTTCATTTTAATTTTGCTTGGAGTCTGAGTTCTAGGTGGACAGTTCTATATATCATTTCTTCCATCAGGTTAAAGCCATTCAACACATTTGATCAAGACATGACTAAGCCATTTTAAGGATAAAAGACTTTAAAATCCCCCCCGCCCAAATCCCTTGGGGTCATCTCTAACAGGCCCAGAGCAACTGGGAGGGCCCCAGAGTGTGGGGGGCCCTGTGGCTTGGTCTCCCACCACTAAGAGGCATTGGCTTCTGAAGTCCTCGGCATAGACTTAGCAGAGCGGACCCTGGACCCACAGTGCACTTCTTCCCCCCAGAGGCTGATGCCACCTGCTGTGATGAGCCATCTGTGACTCCCCAAGCTTGGAGAGCCATCGACTTCCACACAGGGGGTGACTCCTATCAAAGCATCTGTTCCCTTCTTGCAGTGGGGAGAGCTTTCATCATGGTGGCCCCCCAAGAGCCTGCAATCCATCTTTATCAGGCTCTAAGGCAGGGGTCCTCAAAGTATGGCCCGCGGGCCACATGCAGCCCGCCGAAAACATTTGTTTTTTACTTCAAAATAAGATATGTGCAGTGTGCATAGGAATTTGTTCATAGTTTTTTTTTAAACTATAGTCCGGCCCTCCAATGGTCTGAGGGACAGTGAACTGGCCCCATGTTTAAAAAGTTTGAGGACCCCTGGTCTAAGGCGATGGGTCTTAACCCCAAAGATATGTTTTTAAAAACATCCGTGGTGGGATTCACCCCTAAGAGATTGCGGTGTAATTGGTCCTAGACCCTCAGCCAGCCGCTACAGCCTCCCTGGAGAGCTTGTTAGACACACAGAGTTTCAGATCCCACCTGGGACCTAATTCATCAGAACCTGCATTTCAACAAGATTCCCAGATAATTCTAATAATGCGCAGTTGCGTTCGAGAAGCACTGGTCTAGGGTAGAACTCGGGAATTTTTTTAAATGTCCCCAAGTTATTCTAATGTCCAACCAAGACTAAGAATGCTGCCCTTAAATTCTCTCACCACACCAGTCTTTCCTTTCTCTTGCCGACCACTGCCAAGTCCAGAGTCCTGGCACCAGAGCAGCTGATGCCAACTTCACCCCTCACAAGCGGGACTGTTGTTAACTGTGGAAAATTCCCTCCATCCCACTGCTGCTTCCCTAAGGTTTATCCTAGCCAACCACATCTAGGTTGGTCCCCGCCACCTACCCAACCCTAAGAATGTTTATCCCTTCCCTTACCCCGCGGCTGACCATCTTCCTACCCTGTTGGTGGGATGTGGCCACTCCCCACCGCCCACCCTCTCCTCGCCATCTTTGTTTCTTGGCAGCTTTCAGTACAACTGTTTCCACCATAAGAAGCATTGAATGGAGGAAGGGAAGGCTTTTCTTTCTCTGGTCTTCAAGCACCATGTGACTTTCTACATGACAATGTGTAAGTCACGTTAATGGCACGCAGGCAGAGAAAGGGCAGAGGACACAGAGCAAGGGGAAGTCAAGAGCAACTTCACAACTTTTGAGCAATGGCAGCAAGACCCGGGGAGGAAGGCAGGAGACAGAAACTTGGCACAAACACTGCATCCAACAGTAGGACCTTCCATAAATGACTCAAATCATCAAAGACACCTAAAGGGCTAACACCAAATATTATCCTATTTCAAATAGCAGCCCCAAGGAGAGAAAACAGGCGGATTCCCCAAACGGCCACTGTAACTGAGGTTCACGTTCTGTTACACCTTTCACGGTCTCAGCAGCAGCACCCAGGCTGCGGACACGACAGGGTCTTTTTAAGCCTCAACTTAGGGCTCAAAAAAAAAAGACTGAGATTTTCCGGTGAAATTCAGAAGTTGAGAGTAGTCTGACATAGATCCAATATGTCTTCACTTCACCCCACCCCCTCAAGATCATTCAGTAAGATTAGAAAAAAAACTAGCAAGGTTTATACCCCTGAAAAACTTACTCCGCTTCAAGGTACACTGGGCTGGTTCTGAAGGTCACGGGGTGGCCAAGTACGTTCAGAAGCTGGTGGACCATGCAAAATGCCCCGCTGTTTTGTTTTGCTTTTCCCGTGGAACCTAGAATATCAAAGTCAGCCTCTGTCAGGCACCTGCTGGCCTCGCCGCCCTGTCTCCTTTGCTCTCCCCGTTCCTCTCCCTCCTCCCTTACCAGGTCCCAGCATCATCTCACCGGCTGCAAAGGGGCCACAGCTGAGAAGACATGATCCCTACTTCCACCTTGGAGGGTACCTCTCAGCCCCTCACATCTGCCATCTCCTCCCTGGTCTTCAACAAGCAGCACCTGGAAAACAAAACGGCATTTTTCCTGAGAAATGGCATCTCCAACATGACTTGCGTGCATTATTATGGCAAGAGATCCTCTTTGCATGTTTCCACATAAAAAAAGAGCTTTCTCTTCAGTCCCTCTTTCTTTTCCTGCTTGCCCCTATTTTTTTCTGTCTCCCTGTGTATCAGTCAGTATAAACTACACTTTGCTGCAGTAACACACAATAGCATCTCAGTGGTTTTAAAACCACAAAGCTTGACTTCTCACTTATTTCATAGTCCATGGCGTGTTGGCACGGGCTCTGCCCAGCATAGCTATTATGGGGCCCTGTCAAGGAGAAAAAGATTTCTGGGTGTCTTGTGGGTCCTTGGCATCAGCGATGTCACTCCTGCTCGTAATTCTCTGCTCAGAACTATTCAAAGGCTCTAACCAGCCACAATGGAGCCAAGAGGTGTAGGCCCACCACGTGTTCAGAAGGAGAACCAGGAGTAGTTTTTGAAATGCATTATTTCCTGCCATTCCATCCTAAACTCACATCCTCAGGAGAAAGAATACAATTGACTCCATCTGCCCATGCTGTCCTCCCACTTCAATTAGCTGGCTGTTGCCTGGGCAGGGGGCGGGGGTGAGGGGAGAGGAAACTGTACACTTTGTGTACATCTGGGAACATGGGAAGGATGGATGAGGATGAGCAAGGCAATTCAAGGGTCACGGGCTAGAGAAATAAACCGTAAGATATGTAAAGAGCACCCTTGGGTGTGGCGGAGTTGTAGACAGGACTGATGGATTGATAAGCACGAAAACAGAGCAGTACAACCTGCAGGGATGAAAATGGCAATAACCAAAGAAGCGAATGCCCATCACCAAACTCAGTCTCCCACTATTCAGGGACATGTGTAATCATGGAGCTACCAACACACCTGCAAGGTAGCACGGCTTCTCCAGCAGAGGCACCCGTTACGGGACGGGGCTAATAAGAGCACCTCCCATCCTGCTGCGCACACATAATTCATGGGCTAGTCAGACCCATTGCCATCGAATCAAGAGCTATCTTGTCCAACCTTTCAGCTGTGAGGAACTTTGCACAAGATGAAAATAACCTAATCCATCATGATGATAGAAATTTTTCTACTTCTTCCAGGCCCTTGCTGCCAACAAAATGCCAGGAATCCTGCTGCCTTGGATGGTTTATTAAAACTCGGCAGACCCAAGCTGCATTCGGGCTGTGTAACAGCATGCCCTGCCCACCAGCTAATGCTTGCCAGATGTTCAAGCTCCACCCCAGCTGTAAGCACCTGCTCAGAGGAGTGGGCCTCCAGAGCCAATTCAGGAAGAACATGGCTATTGGCTTTATGGGCCCTGCGACTGATGCACCCTGGGGCACAAAATTAAATTAAAACGGGGAAGGGGGTTTGCCTGGCTGAGACGGCGATAGTTTCAATGAAGCTATTTCCCACCAGATTTTGCAAGCATGTTCCCGGGACTTCTGCACCCATACGTTTTTGAGGCTGAACGCCAAAGTTCCATTCCCTACCACAATGACCTCCCTGAGCTCTACATTCCCATTTGTAAAATGAGAACAACTACATGCACTTGCAGGACTGCTCTGAGGATAAAATGAGATGAAATATGAGGCGTTTCTCTGGACCAGGGGTCCTCAAACTTTTAAACAGGGGGCCAGTTCACTGTCCCTCAGACCACTGGAGGGCCGGACTATAGTTTAAAAAAAAACTATGAACAAATTCCTATGCACACTGCACATATCTTATTTTGAAGTAAAAAAACAAAACGGGAACAAATACAATATTTGTATTTGCATGTGGCCCGCGGGCCGTAGTTTGAGGACCCCTGCTCAGGACAGTAAGAGGGACATAGTAATTGCTCAATAAAAGCCTAGTCCACATATGCATTTTTTAACATGTAGGTAGGGCAAAAAAACCTGGATGTCTCTTCCATTCTCAAACCGTATCACCCTCCACACACCTCCCTCTCTCTCTCTCTCTCTCCCTCCCTCCCTCTCCCTTCCTCCCTCCTTCCTACCCTCTCTCCTTCCTACCCTCCCTCCTCTCTCTTTCCCTCGTGTGTTTGTCTGGGACTGGACTATAATGCAGGAGTTAGCATAAGGGGCAGGAGGAGCACTATGGCCAGGACAATTCCTTTTCTGAAGGTAACAGGTCAGAAACAGAGTAATGGAAGGCCCATCTCTCCATGCCTCTTTCTGCCCCAAAGCATAAGGCAGTCCTGGCATGAATCACTAGGTCTACCCACATATCTCTAAGCAATATATGGTTTAGTTGGGTATGTTTCTAAACTTTATATAAGAACATATATTCCTATATGACTTGCATTTTATACTCAACATTGTATTTTTTAGATTCACTCCGGCTGATGCATGAGACTGTAATTTGTTCATGTTCACTGCTGTATAATATTCTATTGTATGGCTGTACCATCATTTATTCTACCACTGATGGACATCCGTGCCGTTGCCAGCTTTGCTGCTATTACAGACAGCACTGCAATGAATGTTCTTGTGCCTGTGCACATGAGCCAAAGGCTTGCAAGGCATGCAGCTAGGAGAACCCTGCTGGTCACAGGTTACGCAGTTTCAACTTTAGTTTACAGTCCTCGGTTATTTTTCCAAAGAGCTTGCTCCAGTTTACACTCTGATTTCCCAGTTCCTGGCAAAAACACTGACAGCTACCTTGGAGAATGTTCTTCCTGCAGCAGAGGTTGCAGGGGTTGAAGAACACTGGCCGAATGAGATCCCACATAAGCCACCTGGAAGTTCACAGGCACAAACATTCCGTTGGGGAGGGAGAGGTTTTGTCCCGCACATCATTTCTAACAAAGAGAGCCTTGAGATGAGTGGTTTTCCGGGCCCCTGGCTTTAGGGATAAAACCTCCCCAGGATGAACTTGCTCTGTTCAGCCCACGAACAGAACACTCTGTAGCCACTACCTGTTTTTCACATGGAGGTGGTGAAAGCTGGCATAGACTTTCTTTCCAAACCACCTTTCATCAACAGACTCCAAGAACCAGACTGACATCTTTGAGGACAAGAATTATACTTTTCTACCTCGTTTGTATCTGTAAAGCTTAGTATGGTGTCTGCACATCATAGGTGCTCAATTAAACTTCCTAAGAAACCAAGAGCTAATCATTTTTGGCAGATACTGATTATGTGTTATCCAAATCTGTCTCCTCCACTTTCTGGCCACAACGTTAGACTATATTTCCCAGCTTGCTTTGCAGTGTGCTGTGGCCATGTGACTGATTCTGGCCAATCAAATGTGAGCAGAGGGGATATCCACCACCTCCGGTCTTGGTCTATCAAAATCTCCCACAGGACCCTCCAACACCCTTTCTTTTCCTGGCCGCCAGCTGGATGCTTTTTCCTCCCTCAGTCATCACCGGGTTCACATCATGAAAACTGGCAATGGCATCTTTTTTAAATCAACCAAGGAAATAAACATGTGTTCTCTTTCAAACAAACAAAGCCATGTGAGAGCCTCTGTGTGTGTTTCTCGTGTGATGGAGAGAGCAGATGAACACATTCATGATTCAGAGCCTCAGCTGCCCAGGCTAGCGGCCAGCCTGCCTCTGAATAAAGTTATGTTTCTGATACTATGCCATTTATACCCAGATACCTCTCAACGTATACCAACAGGAAGCATAATGAACGGAGGTGTTAACATTCAACAAGGAAGTAACAAGGTATATTAAATTATCTATTGCAGCATAACAAATTACCCCAAGCTTTTGTGGATTAAAACAAAACCACTTCTTGTGAGTCAAGAATCTGGGCACTTCTTAGCTGAGTCCTCTGGCTCAGATGTCCCATGGCTACAATGAAGCTGTTGGCGGGGGCTGCAGTCACTTTAAGGCTCCACTGCAGAGGAATCCACTTTCAAACCCACTCTGTGGTTATTGACAGGATCCAGCTTTTCACAGGCTGCTGGACTGAGGGCCCCACTCAGCCCCATACCAGCTGTTGGCTGCGGCCACCTTTTAGGGAGGGAGTGAAGGCTTCCTCACAACATGGCAGTAGCTTCATCAGAGTGAGCAAGTGAGAAGAGAGAGGAAGTGAGAGAGCGAGTAAAAGGGAAGTCACACCTCATCTAGGACTTGACATGTCACCGCTTTCTTCATTAGAAATCACGAGATCCAGCCCTCACTCAAGGGGAAGGAACCATCTTAGAAGCTGCCTTCCACCCAAAGAGCTTAAAAAAATCACAATTTTGCCGACTCACTCCTAGAGTTTTCTGAGCCTAACCTCTAAATTTCATGTATCTAGTCAAAAGTCTTACTAGTTCTTCAAGCTACCTTCAACATTCCAGAAGCCAATGTTAAAGTGAGAAAACTATCATGGGAATTATATCCAATCTGCTTCTTCTTTTACTAGGAATAACGCTGTCCACTTCGCAACGAGATACTTAGGAGAAATAATGGCAAGTGGCCTATTTTCCTCTTTTATGTCAACACTTAGAAATTCACAATTCACACCAATTAACCAGTTAATTTTTTAAATCAAAATGCAGGAATTCCAAACATGAGGTCACAAAAGAAGTGTTGCCTATTTCCAATGCTAATTAATGCATAATTAAATTTCCATCTGAATTTTAAAATTGGGTCTCTCAACCAAGTATGATAAACTACGTAATTTGTGAATGCACTTGTTGATAAATCATGTGTTTCTAACAAATTAATTTAAAATAAACCAGCCTGGCTGGTGTAGCTCAGTGGTTGAGCATCGACCTATGAACCAGGAGATCACAGTTTGATTCCCAGTCAGGGCACATGCCCAGGTAGCGGGCCTGATCCCCAGTGTGGGGCGTGCAGGAGGCAGCTGATCCATGATTTTCTCTCATCATTGATACTTTTATCTCTTTCTCCCTCTCCCTTCCTCTCTGGAATAAAAATATATATTTTTTAAAAATATAAAGTCAATCAAACAGTATGCATCGCTTACTAGGTAGAAAAAGTATTTTAAAATTCTTAAATTCAATTTTTGT